GGTATATCGTTTTAATTGAACAATATCCAGCAACGCAGGAATTGCCTTTTTAGATTTATCTAAGTTGTTTTAAATTTAGATTTTATGGTCCCTTTTCTTTTCAAATTGATTCTTTTACATATTTTTTATGTAAATGAAAAGCCTTAGTATGAAAGGTTAATTGAATATCATCAAATTAAAAATAAAACACGATACTCTTATTGATATTATTCTGAGGCAATAAAAATTGCGATCAGATGATGATATTGCTTTTATTGTTCATGGTAAGTGCGTGTTTAAACCAATAGTTCTATATCGGATTTATATATAAACTAGTAGTGATACATATATCATCTTAAAATTATTGTTTCCAAGGATCTAGTTGAATGGTAGCACCAGCCATGTCACTGATCAGTCACATAAACAAAAACCTTTAATACATAATTTTCTGTCATCAATAATACAAACAAGAATGATGTAGAACATAGAAATAGTATTTAACAAAATCAATTAATGTTTAACCCTGCCATATTATGTATGTGACTTTCCCAAGTCAAAAGCCTGTAGTTCAGTGATTGTCGTTGGTTCATGTCTGTCATATTTGATTTTCGTAAATTGTTTCGTTATCTCATTTGAATTGTTTCATATTTTTAATGTCGGGCCTTTTAACGCCGACTATACGGTATAGTTTTTTCTCATAGTTAAATGCCGTACGCTTGCCTATAATTGCTTACATCCACTTTATCTGAACTTTGGTGAATAGTTGTCTCATTGGCAATCATACCACATCTCCTTATTTTTATACAAACACATTCGAACAACCTATAAAAAGTTATCAACGATGAAAAGGTTGATGTTTTCACTTTGTTTGCATGACTTATATTAACGTAACTACGAACATTTAATTACAAACATTAAAGGTACACAATTTTACTGCACCAGATGCGCAGTTGGAAAAAATTGATGTATCTTCAGTGATGACGAAAGCCATAACAACTATAAACAAGCATCAACGATGAAAACTTGTTCATGTTGTTAACAGGCCTTGTTAAGTCGTAATTTGCCCTAACGTTTATAAAGTAAATTTCGTTTGATATGAAAACTTATTGTAAAATGAGTGGATGGCGTAGATATGAGAGGATGACGATGAAATGAGAGGGTGATGGTGAAATTAGTGGATGGCGGTGAAATGAGAGGATGACGTTTAAATGAGTGGATAACGGTGTAATGAGTAGATGGCGGTGAAATGAGAAGATGACGGTGAAATGAGAGGATGACGGTGGAATGAGTGGATGGTAGTGAAATGAGTGGATGGCGATTAAATGAGAGGAGAACAGTGAAATGAGAGGATGACAGTGAAATAAGTGGATGGCGGTGAAATGATAGGATGACGGTAAAATGAGAAGGTGGCGGTGAAATGAGAGGATGACGGTTAAATGAGTGAATGGCGGTAAAATGAGTGGATGGCAGTGAAATGAGTGGATGACGGTTACATGAGAAGATGGCGGTTAAATGAGAGGATGGTGGTGAAATGAGTGGATGGCGATTAAATGAGAGGATGGCGGTGAAATAAGTGGATGGCAGTGAAATGAGTGGATGCCGATGAAATGAGGGAATGAAGATTAAATGAGAAGATGAAGATAAATGAGTGGATGGCAATAAAATGAGAGGATGACGCTAAAATGAGAAAATGACGGTGCATTGAGTGGATGGCGGTGAAAAAAATGATTTAATGGCGGTAAAATGAGTGGATGACGGTGAAATGAGTGGATGACGGTTACATGAGAAGATAAATTCTGTCGATGAAATAACAAGTCAAATAGTTGACGAAAACACATAACAACATGCATTTGATCAGGTGCGAATTAATATCTTGTATCATATTCTGAGCAGACACAATCCTTGACATAAGCGTGAAATAGTTCTGTCCCCTTGCTTTACTTACACGATCTTGTTTTGTATGGCTTTCCAGAATTGTTTTTACAGCTCGAAAAAAATGAAATAAAAATCCAGTGTAGGGTTTGATTTTCGGTTGCTCTGAGTCGTTCATATGTTTAGATCCTCTTAAAGCTTTGAAGATACATATATTTGAATTCAAACGTTATATATTCAGTGTGATATAGTAATAACTCTCTGCAAGTTCGTTCAGTGGGTATATTAACTTAAGTTATTTTACTATAATCCTTAAAGCAATTTGTAATCAAGGACGATATATTTCTATTTTCTATCTAATGAACATAGTACAAACAGTTATAGTCAACATTTCATGATATTTACCTATAAATAGCTAGTACTTACATTTTACGAAAATTGCTAAACTATCTGCTAGAATTTCGTCCATGTTAGCTATGATATGAAAATAAAAGGCATAATAACATACTTTATATTGGAATAAGCATTAATAAGCAAATATAAATACTTACATTAGAAACGCGACGGGAGCCACATGTGCAAGAGGATATATTTACCCTTCCAGAGCAAATGAGCTCAATCCCTGTTTTTATGGTGGGGTTCGTGTTGTTCAGTCCTAATTTTCTATATTAAGTTTGTATACTGTTGTTTGTCTTTTTGGTAGTTTTTCTTTTTCGTCATTACATTGTCAGTTTGCTTTTTGACATATTTTGCAATCAATGCAAAACTCTAAAGCATCTTTGAAAAACGACCCAGGATAACAGAAGGGAAACCGACAATTAAAAGAGAGAACTAACGACCTTATCTTAGCTTATATCATTCAACAAAACCCCATTGTGACAAATAGAAACTAATGACAAACACAGAAATTGTGGTTTCTAGCATCTAGCTAAGAACATGAGAAGGTTATGAGCCGTTTGTCTTTAGTGGATAGTTATCTTATTGCAAATCATATCACATCATCGTATTTGAAAGTCTTTTTGGGTTCCATGTAAGATTAATTTCGGAAATAAATCCGCTGCATTATAGTTGATATGCTGATATTCAACAAAAAGGAATGTTTCAATGTTTCATGCTTTGCAGTTTCCGCGGTAATGATGGCAATTGTACAATTGAAAAAGTTTCATCTAGTGTACCAAATTATAAACTTGTCTTCTTTGATTAGTTTTTACAATCACTTGGTAAGTCGATGTCACTACTGGTGGATGTTTTTTTAAATTTTCGGTTTTTAATGCTATAACTTCTTGTCTAATTTTCCAAGTGTTATGATTCTATCGTCTCTGTGAGAAGACGAAACGCGCGTTTTTAAGTATACCAAATTTAAAACCTGATATATTTGATTAGTTTCTATATCTCACGGGTAAAGTTTCGGTACATTTCTAGTAGATTTTGGTCCAAAATAATTGCAAAATTAAACAGACCAAATTATTAAAGAAATGTGAATAGGAATAACTAGAAAACAAAGGAATAAAAAAAAATGCCATCCGGCATTCTTTCGATTCGGCACATATGAAGAACTGGGCAAAAACAGAAGTGTTTTTTTTTAACTTTGTCTTGATATCTTAATTTACATCTGTACAAAAACGACTCATCAAATTAAGACACAGATGAATAAATGGAGTTATTGGATATAAAGTTATAAACCATCAACCAAATGGCACAAAAAACCAAGACACGTAGAAGTCACAAAACATTAACCATATATGTACCCTTCTTTTAATATGACAAGTACTGCAATCGTCTCCAAACTGGACAAGCAGTAAACAATTTAAACAAGGACTAAATAAATTTACTTAAACTCGAATGCGTAATTGGTCAATACATGTATACGTTATTTTATATATTACCTTATGCACAAATGTTAAAAATAGGTTTCTGACAAAATATTGCTTCGGTGCTTGGATTTACTTATTAATTCGGAGAGTTTGGTGATAATGTTTTTCTGTCATTAACCAACTATTGTAACGTACCTACATTAAACTCAATTTGTGTAGAATGCGGACTAAATAGAATGAACGGTTTCCGAGAAAGATGGTTTTTCTCGTACTGGCAATCGCCGGTGGATAAAACATCAGACACCATTAGCCATCCTGAATCCAGACAGTGTCCGCTTGTATCCCATGCAGCATTCACATAAAAACGTCTATAATTTATATTGTTGGTATCTTCAAGGCTGTAACCATCAACAATTGAAACAATAGTTTAATGTCTTGTAAGATCAAAAATGCTGTATGTAATCACATATAACCGGAAGAGATGTTCATTAAAGAGAAGGTGAATTGCCAATTGTGGACATTGTTTCTCAATAACTTTTATGGTTTTAAATTTGAATACAGCTGATTTCCAGCTTAAGGTTCACCATATCAAATGGACAAATAGGATTGTTTTACACCTTAAAATTACAAACAAATCTGTGCAGTTGGAAAAGTTATAAGGCCTTATATGGATTAGATATATAAAGGTAAGATGCATTTCGTATTTATATAAAACTGATCAACTGATTTTAACTGAAACAATCACAGATTTAATGTATGACCGAAGTACTTCTATATGCTGCTCAATGTTAATGTCAGAATTTATATCCCTTCTTATTGGGCTAGTTTCCCTCATCAGAGCGAGTAAAACGTTCTAATATATAGTGTATTACTAACCCTCGTAAGTCGAAATAAAAACCTATTTTGTTTGTATCAGCGCCTTTCAAATCAGAATAAGAACTAGATATTAGTTTATCTAATGAAAACCAGCTAGTACTTGTTGATCCCATGCCGTCAAAGATCAAGAATGTTTTAACTATACCATTTTTGTAGATGAGAACTTTAACCTAAAATAGAATCAATGTCATTAATTATTTTTACAGTAAGACAAATTTTGTGATTTCTTTCTCGAACTTTCTCTGTAAATGGGTTTCAATAGCATAAAGTCATTGTCTTAAGAAGTAAATACACAGATAAACAAACAAACATACACAAAGGGAGGGAGGCAAGGGGAGAGAGGGAGGTTCTTAAATTCCTCATTGTAGTTCATTTAAGCATACAAACATGTTTATCTACAAACGTTAAAAGCTGTTTCTGTGTGTACTTTGCGATGCTAAGGTATACAACAAATTGATATATTCATTAAAGAGTCAATTTAATATATTCTATAATACGTGAATGTACAAAATGTCCAAAAAATTCCAATCACAAAACTGAAATTGTATCTAAATTCAATGTTTTAAACACTTGAATAAATAATTACTTGTTCAATTCCAACAGAACTCCATTTGTTCATAATGTCCGATTTAAAGTGTTTAGAAGTTGAAGTAAACAAACGTGCTTCGGGATCATCACTATTTTCTGTCTGGCTATTGGTGTATAAATCATAAATGCCACCAGAACCTAAAATTCAAATATTCTCTTTGATACAAATCTTTACTTGCTAATCAAGATAACAAATGTCAATTATTAAACATAATTAATATCTTTCAAAGTAGTTCTTAAAGATAATTATAATTTAGAAACTGTATAGTTGATGTGACATTTCTTTTTGTTCAACACCCAGGGCTCTTCATTATTACATCAGCAGTATTGTATTGCCTCAGTCGTGACAAACTGTAGCTAGAATGAAATAACTTTATAGGTAGATTTATTTGCCATTTACATACATTGTTTAATATGCTATGTTATCAGTTCAGATGTTATTTTATCATAACTTTATCACTTCCTTCTGCTCTCATTTGCTAAGGTTTTTCTAACCGTAGGTATGTACGAAACGCGCGTTTGCCGTACCAAATTATATGCCTAGTATCTTTGGTGAGTTTTTACCTTAATTTTAATTATCTTAAATATAACACAAAACTTATCCCTTTCTTCAGGTGTCAATGCACCCTACATATAATTAGCTTAAATAGAGCAAAAATCATATCACTTACTTCACTTATAATTTTACCCTAGATTTATTAATCTTAAAGACCACCAGCCTTATCTTCAGCTTTCTTTCATATGTTACCCTAGATGAACTGATCTTAAATTGAACACAAACCTTTTACCTACCATCTGGTCACATTAAACCTTGGATGTATTTACAATCTATCTTACCATATTATCATAGCACCGTCTTAAAACATGTCTTGTTACTAGTAGTATCGGGTACCAGGTCTTAACTAATTTGGTATTTGTTATGGAAAATTTTACCTCCAGTCGCTATTTTGAAGACAAGATTCCATTCACTGCTTGTATTAGTCTGAACTGTGAGAAACAGTATGAGCCTTAGTAATACTGAAATAAGAGAGAAGAACCACAAAAACAAAACACTTTATTTTAATGAATATATTTTATTATCTCCTGCATTGGACTAGACACTTCAGAGGCTAAATTACTATAACAGTACTTTACCGATGTTCAAATCTCAATTATGACGATAAATCAAGACAACAAAGAAAAACCCAGGGAATCGCATGAACTTAAAAAAAACAGATTGCGTGCGTCGACAGGGTAAGCGTCTCCTCATATGCATCTTTCAATCGCAATGCGAATCCTCACTTATCCAAATGTCACAATCCGGTAAAGAACACAGTCGGTATAATTACAGATGAGGTAACTATTCTGGTATATAAAGACTAAAGATCTAAGACTGTGAAAACACAGGCATATCGTATCGGTCAACCAATTCGTGATGGTAACCGTATAACTTATGAAGTGTAGATTTCAGTTGTTCTTCCAAATAAATCTGTTGGATTTGATTTTCTGAAAGGAGCTAACCCCTGCTTATTAAATCCGTAAGGTGTAAACATGCACGAGAGAAATGTATCAAATCAGAAGGAACACGCTATACCATGGTGCAGACGGTAAGTGTCTGGTGAGAAATGCGCAGTTGACAATTGGAAAGTTGAAAGTTGGAAATCAAGTCGACCAGAAGGAGTACATTAGTGATACCCATTAGAATATCGATTGTCTGTTAAAGTATCAATCCCACCAAATAAACAAATATGTTATCGATTAGAAAGTAAAGTTATATTTATTTAGGAAACAGTATGCTTCTTCACAAAGTAGATGTTTTCATGTCCTTAAACAAGAAATTTGTATTTACGATTCCCTGTTTTGCAGAAAAAAATTCTATTTGATGAGACGATGTATTCTTCTTTTAATATCGAGCATGGGTAAAAGAAGGGTTAGGCATAAAAAATCCAAAGTTTTAATGTTACTGAAACATTGTAAAGATTAATATTAACGATTTTGCAATAGCTCTTTAAAATGTTTATGAATCCACAACTTATTAACATCGCTGGATGATTATACCTCATCACAAAATTTCGGAAGGCCATCGTTTGCTGTAATAGATCATATATAATGGCGTTAAGATCTTTCAAAATACGTTTAGTCGCAATACTTGACGACCCAACCATATACCGTTCTTTATAAGAATTTTTATGAAGTTTAGGTATCCAGTATAAAAACGAGAGATTTTAATCGTCCTTTTTATTTTTTATAATAGCAAAGAAGAGAAGGACGAATTTGTGATTTTCTGAAAGTCTACACTTTCGTTAAAAATGTAGGGGTATATTGGGGATTCAAACTTTTGCTGTCATTTCCTGGTTCTTTAGTTATACATTCCAAATTATGAGTTTTGCATATAAATGCAATATTGTTAGAGGCTTTGTCCACTGAAATAACAACATATTTGTCGCGGAGAGAGGATAAAGCATCGGGTTTCTTGAAAGGGTTAGAAACTCCTTTGCTCATTGTACGTCGTAGATTTTGAATGTGTTTCTGGATGCATGACCAAACAGCTTTGATGCATTCATATAAAGTGTCAAGTTTTGGTTCATCTGGATCGCGCTTAATCCATTTTTTGTCATTAATTGAAGTCCTCAATTGTATTCCTCAGTAATATAGGAATATACCAACATGAGTGATGGTGTAACACGGAAAATCGAAATGTCGAAAATATACAAGTCAATAGAACAAAACCTATACAACCTGAAATAGCAAAGACTTTGAAATTCTGTTTACTCGGATCAATATTTAAAAGAGAGAGGCGAAAGATACCAAAGAGACATTCAAACTCATAAGTCGAATATGAACTGATAACGCCATGGCTAAAAAAAAAAATCCCAAAACACAAACAACAGTAACAAAACACAACATACATAGAACACTAAAGACAGAGCAACACGAACCCCACTAAAAACTGCGGTTGATATCAGGTGCTCCGGAAGGGTAAGCAGATCATGGTCAACATGTGGCACCCGTCGTGTTGCTCATGTGAGTACAAACCCGGTGATAAGTTCAATTCGGAAGGTCACGTTCGGGGAAAGGTAGACGAGATTGTAGTTACGACAATTGGATCATATCCGTACTCATCTGTGAAACAGATATTCCATGACGGTCAACAAACTCGTGATGGCGTCCGTAAAATTTAAAAAGCGATGATTTCAACTTCACCACTCGGAACTCTTGGTGTGATAACTTCCTTGTGAGCAGCAACCCTCTATCAAGGAAATCATGATAGGAAATACAAAGCCCTGAAATATTGAATCAAAATGAAGATATATACTCCGTATGCATGCGCTGCTGGAATGTTGCTACATAGAAATGGAAAGTTCACAAGTGGGAAGCTGTAAATATCTCTTTTGTTTTCAACCGACCCTCATTGTCAATTTTTAGATGTAAGTCAAGATATGAGGCTGACTTAACTGTATCGGTAGTATCCTTTATCTCAAGTTCGATGGGATAGATTCAACATAATCTCGGTTGAAATTCCAAAGGAACATATAACAGACCTATGATTATCCCGGATAGCCTCCTTGGTAAGTGTCGTTGGGGTATATGTTGAGTTTCCAAGTGAATTGTCAATACCTAATGCATTATCAATCAGGCTATGTAATGTGTTTTACACACAAAAACGAAGTTGTTTTGGGCTTTATCTGCGGGGACAACAACATATTTGTCATGGAGGTTGGACAGGTGTTTTGCAACATTTGGGTCTTGAAAGATTGATGTAGCATGGGTATTCATAGACCCATTTAGATTTTTAATTCTGATTTGTATCAACGACCTCACAGCCATAATCCATTCGGAACGAGTACATTGTATCTACATCTTCTTTCTCGCGTTTAACCGATTGTCTGGCATAATCCTCTACTGAATCCATCAGTAAAAGGATTGTTTTATTCCGGATGAATCTAGTATCAAATTATTAGGTTAAAATATTAAATTATTTTTGTAATTTTTCATATATGTATCAGCTGAACTACAACACATACTAGAATAGCCATGTTTCACTTTTTGATTATTTTGTGAATAAAATACATTTTTTGTTTCCATATCTAATATAATCGTTAATCTTTATCATCAAATCACATTCCTTTAGAAAGGCGCTTGGTTAGACATAATTGATGTTGTGCAGTCCTTAAGATGTCCTTTTAACCTTACTTTTGTGTCAAGTTTTACTAACATTTTGATGATGCCTTGTGAACGTCGTGTTGTCACTAGTTGTACAGCGGCTATCCGTAAAGAAGTCTGGTAAAGACGTAGGGTCAATTTCTACTGATTTGATTCACAAAAAGCTCAAAATAAAAGTTGTCAAGTCCTACGGATAATTGGTTATTATACGTTTTTATCACATACTTGGATTTTTCAGCAATTTGACACAGTTCTATCAAATCGAAATGCTACCCAATGCTACATTTGGCTGTCTTGCAAATTTTACACGTTGTTGCATCGAAGGACCAAATGAACTACGGTATATCCGAAAGACAAAACATTCCTTTACTTCCAACATAACTTAAGTTTTTCGTACATTTTTTGGATAAATACTGCAAAATCTGTCAAATGTCCAGTTTTAGGCTTCGGTCGTTTGCGATTTGCTTATCTGTTCATTAATTATCCATTGTAAAGCTAAAACCTTAAAGTACACACACTGGGCTTTGATACTATAAGTTTAAGTAAAGATTGAAAAACATTTTTTAGATATCCCCAGATGTGAAATTTTTGGGGGGAAATTGGGATTCTCAGCCCAACTCTTTTTATCTACTGCCTGTTTGCCGCAGACTTATACCGTTGGGATCAGTTTTTATCTTTCTTTATAACTGTCAGAATATTCTGTCATATCACTGTTCTAAGGTGGAACTGTCAGAATCAATTATAGGGTAGAAATGTTAGAATCAATTCCGGGGTAGAACTGTCCAAAAGTGGTCTAAAGAAGAACTCACAGGATCAATTTTAAATTAGAACTGTAAGAAAGAGATTTGGGACAGAATGGTTCTAAATGGCTAAATTCAGAACAGTTGCACTCTCGTGATTTAAAACCGGGGTAGAACTGTCAGAATCAATTATAAAGTAGAACTGTCAAAAAGTGGTCTATAAAGTAGATCTCACAGGATCAATTCTAGATTAGAACTATCAGAAATAGATTTTGGACAGAATGGTTCTAAATGACAAAAATCCGAACAGTTGCACCCCTAGTGATTTAAGACCAGGTCAGTAATCTTTATATTCACCTTAAACCATATCATTAAGTAGAAAACATGTTTAAATTCTTTTACGTGTGTTATTGATCTGTTCTCCATGTTTATAACTAACTTTAATCAAAATTATGTTCATTATGATATAATATTGCTTATGCAGTAAGGACATTTACTTCATATATTTCATTGATTATGAATACCACTAGTAAACATTGACTTTAGACAGACACTCATGAAGTTTCAAGGAGCACATATTATGGGTAAAATATTTGAACTACACAGTGATTGTTTTATATCCGAATTAACCGAGATTATACAATCTTATGTAATGACAAAAATAAGGTTTAGTATTATTATGAAAATTGTGGGCACGCACTTATTTACAGAACTTTCATAAAGCTAAAAAAAATGATAAAACAGTAATGATAATCAGAAAAAACAAATACATACATACATACATACATACATACATACATAATTACATACATACATACATACGTACATACATACATACGTACATACGTACATACATACACACACATACATACATACGTAAATACATACACACGTACATACATACGTACGTACATACATACATACATACATACATACATACATACATACATTTCGTTAATTTTTATTATCAATTGTTTTGCAATTTAGTGTTGGGTTTAATTTCATTGACATTTATCTCATGTTTTCTATTGCTTGTTCATTGTAAGGTGAAATGATAGTATACTTCTAAATTGTCAGTAGGTATTGAAGGAAAGCTTACCTGTTACTTTGGGCATTCTCTTGTTCATTTAAATTATTTCCTAATAATCCGACATATTCTACAGTGAATATAAGGGAAAGCAAATGATTTCTGCACATACATGTAACTAATTTAAAATGTGACTTTCCTCTTGTTTAATTGTAGTAAGAAACCAGAATTCGAAAACTACAATATGCTGAAAACATTTATAAACTATGTTTTTATTAACCGCCTCCCTCAAATTACTAATAACATTTCGCAGTACAAGATGAACTTTTTTCTTTGTTGAACAATGTTTCGTTATTGATTCTTCTATATATCATTATCAAGTGGCGCGTTTTGTCGGTCAAATCAAAGTACCTATGTTCTTTTATGTAAAGTTAAATATAAAAACGTCAATTCATTTTAAAAGCTATATAATAAAGTTCATTATAAATGTGAAAAGGCTCAATTTGTTATTATGTAAAGATTTTTTTCCAGAAGGAACAATAGATGTCTCGTATTTTAGGATTAAATATTGGATTTTTAAGTATTCATTTCCGGACACCTAAAATCAAGTGCAAATAAATATTTTATGAGCTAATGTATTCTACTATTAACTTGCTACTTCAGTAACTCTTTATAATATATTGTTTACACTTTAACAGTAAATGTGTTCGTTTACATGTTTCCTAATTAGGTGGCACATTTAATACTGCCATGGTTCATCAAAATATTCATCTTTGACGTCTGTCATTTCGAATTCAAGTAGTCTTCTTCTCTTATTTAGATAAATAAATAAATGAGCAAATGAATAAATAGTTAAAATAGAAATAATAATAATAATAATATCAACATAATTATCGAGTCGCTCCATTGAGCAAAGTCAATATTAAATGATTATCTTTATTTTATTTTTTAACTTGCATTTGATATGCTTTATAAACAAAGAGGCACTAGAACAGAAGGTAAGTATTTCTGGAAGTTACTCTACAGAATTTTATATAAAATATAAAATATATATTTTTTTTTTGCTATTTGCGTCATTGCATTTATCAAACTACTTCTTCTTTTTAGATATTAGCGGGGAAAAGAAACTGTGAATGGTTTTTCTTTTTAAAATAGATAGCAATTATAGAAAATATTTATTTAACATGTTTGCTTTTTAGATAATTGAACAAAGTTTGTATTTTGAGAATGATATAAGGCATACAAATCCTGTTTTTACACCACTTTTTACATGGTGCATGACATTAGGTGACATTGTATCGCAAAGTTACAGCTGGAATAACAGTTCAGGATCACTTTTCATTCTTTTCCTTATTCTTTTTTTTATTGAGACTGGTCTTTTCCATTTACATGTTTACAGGTTGAGTGGCAACAGATATCATTCTCCAAAACCATTATTATGATATAATTCTGACATATCATGACTTAAAACTCTTGGTGTGTATGCAGTCTTAGAAGTGCGCCGTTTATTCGTTAGTATATAATTACTCACTTTTGCAATATTCACAGTTATAGTTCTGTTTTATGATTCCTCAACTTATTACGAGGACGAACAATTCTTAACATGTTTTCTTCAGGATGTCTTCCTTTTTCAAATTCCTTTAGATGGATTTACATCTTATTGTATTTAAGTATTTGCAGTTCAAACAAGAAACCATACAAGTATTACAGTTTATAGCACATTGCAGGGCACGTTTAAAAGTGTTTCAAACTTGAAGTAAGAAGTACTATGTAAAACTGCGATAGTGTATAAAGTGTAAAAAGTAGGCATTATGTTGGCGTAGTAAGTTTGATAACTTGAATATCATCAATACATATATATATCCAGTTAACAGATTGGTTGTGTTGCGCTATATTTCAATTTTTATTTTTTTCAAGTATGCTATCTGAATCAAAGAGTACTTCTTTCTCGTGACCTTTCATCATGCGTTAATTTCTGCGTCATCGTTCACATTGTAGAAACACATTTACTAGTTAAAAGTTGTCATGGGAACTTTAAAAGATGTAACTTTACCAAACAGGAAAATGAATAAAATCAGCTAAACTAAAACAAATCAATCAGAGAAAAGGGGTGTAAAGACCGTAAACAATAAACATCAATGAATAACTAAGCATATAAATAGATAAGAATATATATCCTATGAAATAAAATCACGAGAATCTCTTTTGCTGACAGCTGTTTTCCATTCGTTTCGTTGGTTGATAACGTCTAACGTTTGATTTTGCCAGTTTTTATGGACTTTTTGAATATACCTTGGAATTCGATATCTTTCTTATAAGTTTTCAATCAATATTGCTAAAATTTTGCACTTCAAATCAAAGTTCCATGTGATTGCATCTAGGCAACAGCTAAATTAACAGCAGATGTTTTAACTAATAAATAACGATCTCATCGACATTCTCAATGTCTAAAAATAAAAACGGTTTTGTCTAGAGAGTATTAGATATTAATCACATAAAATATTTTCGATACAATCAGTACAGTATAGAAATCAGAAATAGCTAAAATACCAAACTCCAAGGTAAATAAAAATAAGGGAAGTACATAAAAACTGACAAAATCAAACGTTAGACTTTATCAACCAACGGAACAAATAAAACTAAACTGACATATTCCAGACTTGGAACAGGCATTTTCCGAAGAAAATGGTAGGTAAATCCTGGTTTTATAGCTAGCTAGACATTTCGCTTGCGGTCAACAAGTCACTTTTCATACAATTCAATATTTAAATTAGTAGAAAATTACTGAAAAATTTCAGTTAATTGCAATCGGAGTTAACTGAATTTACTTTAGTTGAAATGTATTTACATAGACTGAAACTTATTTTTATAATGAAAGACTAGTATAGTCACTTAACACACGCACACAATTTTTTGTAATTGGAAAGTCGTACTAAAAGAAGTTGACTATTCATTTGGATCATTTCAAAAATGAAGAAATTGAATTGAGAAATTAACCTTAATGTTCAACGACATAACATACACACACAACAACAAACCATCTACGTCTAGAGAGGTCACCCTTCGGTATGTACAATTAGACTTGTCTGTACACGATAAGATACATAGAGGGTGTCAGACACCGTTTACCAAAAAAGACAAACAACTGCATTGTCCACAAAATAAAAAGACGACCTAACAAACAACAATCCTCACAACGCTACATAGAAATCAACAATTTAGCAACACTAACCTTACTTAAAACCGCAGGGATTGGTAAATAGTCATGTGTTTTTGAAGTGTCTGTGATTTAAGTGTCAATGATGGCATGCATCATATGTTATTCCTGTTAAAACAGTTGTAGAAACAGATCCAAATTGGTAAATACATCATGTACCTAAGATATTACCAAATTCATGAACAATTTATACATGTAAATATTTTAAACCTGCTGAAATGATGACAAGAATTCACCGAGATTAGTATTTTTCAACCTGCTATGCCTCTCTATAAAAAAACTTATGAAAACAAAAAAGAAACACTTTTTTTTATTTTCTTCAACCTTTATATCTTGACAATTATATGAGGGTAAGCATATAAAATTCAATTACCAAAAGCAAATAACATGACGAAATGAAAGATAACATTTTTGGATTACAATTGCAAACATTTTAAAAGCAAGGAAAGTTCTGATTTATTTACCAAAACATACGCCAATATAATAATTCATGCAATAAATTCTATATGACCGCCATTCATAGTACATAATAACATGTCCTATTGCCTTTTAGATTTAAGAAATTTTAGTTGTATTGCTTATATTTGGTTTTATTAAACTTTATCAATGGTTGTGTTTAGAACTTTTTTCTGCAGCATATAAACGATAAAATTCAAATTTTACAAATAAAGGCAACAGTAGTATACCGCTGTTCAAAAGTCATAAATCGATTAAGAGATAACAAATCCGTGTTACAAACTAAAATCGAGGGAAACACATCAACTTTAAGAGGAAAACAACGGAACAACAGAAACAAACGCCAACACACATACAAAACATTCTCCTATACATATATAGAGGTAATTAAATTGAGAATCTGCACTTTATGCTTCATTTACTAAATATCTTCATTTACTTTTAGTTTTTGCTTCAAAAAAATAAATAAAAGTTTTGTATATGACCATTCAAAAAGTTAGACTATGTGTATTCAATAAGATATCTTGAACAATACTGTGTGTTTTCGAAAACACAATAGATTTTAGGCTTAGCAACATTATCAACACAACTATCAAATAAAAGTTTCGGATTGTTTGTATCTTGCGGTGGCGGTCTAACGTATTCATCTCTTCCACGACAAGTTTTACCAGCCAAAACTGAATACACAAACATAAATTTGTGTCCATTAGAATCAGACTGGGCATATCCATCAGAATATTTGGCATCTTTGGCAAAATAAGTCCCTTTGCCTAATAGTGTACCAACTCTTGTTCCTGCCAAACGACAATCTAAATTCTGTTCCACAATCAAGTCTACCTTGTCTGGGAGTGTACCATGAAACAAATCCTGTTCATTTGCACAACCAATGCCATATTGTTTTTCAAGTTTTTTCTTCTTCCTGAAAAGCGAAATTTGTATTTCATTCTATGAGATAACATATGAGTTTCCAATTTCGGTTTTATAAATGAACTGCCACGGTCGACCTGTTGTCATTCGGGAAGAAACTTGTCATAAGACATTGTGACGTGATGATTTTTGCTTTGTGGCGTCTTATTTACCAATTGCAAGTTCATGTATATAAAAATTTTCCTATAAGTATTTATATATCAGAAACAATTTAAGTTCGACACACAATTGTTACTTGTTAATTTTTTTGTTATTTCTATAAATTTTCATCGAATGCATGAAGCTTAAAATTACAATATAATCGATTTAGTTATGCCATATATAAAATTGTCCAATATCAAGAAATACAAAAACTTAGTATATAATACATACACTTGGTACATTTCCCAATTAAATTTGTCTTGAATTCTTTGTATTGACACGATTCTAGCTTGTGGTAATGTATTATCAAACATCTGTTTCACATCCTTCCATTGTTGATTCATTAGATCAGTTTTTGAAGGTTCTATATTAACTCTCAAAATGGTTTCTTCGCCCATATCATCCCAGTCTGCTGGGAAAGTAAATCCTGATTTTGTCTTTGCAAATGACTTTTCGGTTACTTTTTTCGCAAGTCTAAAAAAAATCTTTCGATTATTCATAATTCGGTATCATTTCAAACCAAGTACCATTAATCTTCCGCTACTTTTTATCCCAAAGCTACAAACAGTTGCTGATGTTGCAATTTCCTTAAGACTTATCCGTATATTTACTCCTGTTATTTTAACTACATGTAGTTTAATACCCTGTCAATTTCTTTTATGCAATTGAGTGATGATGCATATTCAGTGAATATACGTTAATTTAATGTGACTTTATATCAACTTTTCCTTCAATTAACAAGAATTTAAAACAGAATTACGAATAATTGTATATATCTATTTCCCCCCCCCCCCCCCCCCCCCCCAAGGGTGACTGGGAAATAGAAGTATGGTCACCATTGGTCTTCCTCCGATCGGCTGTAAAACCATTGCTAAAGTGGGGCGTCCCTTTGGCTGTGCGGCATGTACAAATTTGCAGCCACGTCCGGTCAGAATGGGGACGTTAAATCCGATGCCTCGTGTAAAGAGAGTGCCACCTATTGCAAGGCTAAATTTCTGTCCCTATCCAATATACCCTCATTTACCGTGGCAGTCTAAATTTCTCCGACCTTAATCCCGGAAGCCCCTATTACAGAACCTACCTATTGTATTTATTGTTAATTTGTTCTCGTCCTGAATATGCATGAAATATTTGCCACTGGACGTTAAGCAACCAACAATCAATCAATCAAGCAATATATCTATTTCTTATTTGATCTACTATCTCTTTTTTGTGGTAGGTAGTTTTTACTATTTTACTCTTCATACAACTTAACCTACGTTTTTATTAAAATTTTCTCCGATTGGTCTTTAGTTAAGTCTATAGGTGTTTTGCAATTCTTATTCTCTATCTGTACGTTAGCTCCATTCTCAAGAAGAAAGCAAAGCACCTGAGTATCATCAGCCCCGCGCCTTTTCCGCATCATCTACAAATGATCAATATTATTGACTTCATATTAGATATTTAATTTAACTGTTATTTTATAGGAATATAATCATGTTAATGATAAAATGAAATTTCAAAAAAAATGAAACAGATACAAAATAGTTTGCCACACCAGATCTTGAAACTACCCTGGGTTTCCCGGGGTTTCTTTTGTTGTGTCATCATGATTTGTGCACATTTTTTTGTGTATGTCTCTTTTCAATTTGGTTCTTTCGTCATTGTACGAGTTATTATTGCTCAATTAGTATTATCTTATTTTCAATTTTCAAAAACATACTCCTCATATCTTTCTGTATGTACATATCATTTTTTGGGGTCTTTCTGAGATGTTTTAGAAGCCATGACAATAAAAACGAACATACAATATGGACACTGGTTAGTTGTTATACAATATATATTGATCTCGGAATACCGTATTAGGGTTTTTGTATTATTGGGTTACTGCCTCATCAACGTGTACCAAACATCTTGTTTAGTTCAAGCTGATACCTACACTAGAACTTTTCTGTGCCTGTAGAATATGCAATGCTGTGTCACCACTGTTGTCCTGGGCATTTACAGAACACTCTGTAAACGAAAGTAAAACAGTATATATTTGAAATCTGACTTACAATATTGTCTCAATGCGAACGAGTTATTTTTTTTTTGGTAGATCTGTTCTCAGAAGTTAACGTTCTTTAGTTAAAGGGCGTTTTGAATTAGTGGTCGAAAATTCGTACATGTTTGAAACACACTTTAGAGAAAGAGATGAACTGTTCAAAAACCTTAAAACTTCATCAAAATCTTCACGCTGTATTGTTCTATTAAATAATAAGGGAACACCTGCAATACGATGTAAATATGGGAGTGTGTATTTAAGAAAATGCAGCTTTTTGTATGGTATTTCTTAGTCGAGTTTTAAAAAAGGTGAGAGTAATCGCTAGTTTTAATGCCTCGTCTTTTTACTCAATCTTGGGTGCAAAAAACTATGAATTTGAAACAAGATAAAAACATCAATTGATTTGTATCTTTGTTTGATCACTGACGTCCTCTGGGAAGTACCTATTTCATATATAAATTGTTGTCAATCAGTGAATATTTTTTTATCAAGTTTGTGCCTTGAATTAACACTTTCGATTTTTATTTAAAATATTTGATTTTTTCCTTGCAATGTACATTTATATTACCAAACTTAATGAGTTGTTCTACAGATTTTAAAGTTCCACCACTATACACTGCACTCATAAGAGGGGTTCTTCCTTTGATATCCTTGACATTAATATCCGCCTTTCCGGTCTACAAATGGAATGCAAACAATAATAGGAGACTGTTCAAATATAAATCAGATGGTAATGTCATTTATCAATACGTTTAAAAGAGGGACGAAAGATACCAGAGGGACAGTCAAACTCATAGATCTAAAACAAACTGACAACGCCATGGCCAAAAATAAAGACAAACAGACAAATATTAGTACAGATGACACAACATAGAAAACCAAAGACTAAGCAACACGAACCCCACCAAAAACTGGGGGTGATCTCAGGTGCTCCGGAAGGGTAAGCAGATCCTGATCCACAGAATAGTTGTACGCATAGGAATGACTTTTCGCTTTTAACAAAGTACTCTTAAAATGCCTATCTATACCTCTCATTGTGTACCGTGGTTAGTATATTCTATACTGAATATGATATGAATCGACATTTTTAAGCAATATGATATAGACAAAATGTTGATTTAGTGAATAAGTTTTTTTACATAATTTCTATTTGTATTTTAATATTTCTTTAATAGCAATTGAATTTTCCCGCGTTTCGTCAAAGTATACCGGGAAAATATTGTAATGACGAGTACGGGTCGTATGAATATATAAAAGGGTCACTTTATGAGTACATTTTGATTAACCAAAACATACATGTTAAAGATGTATGTCCGAGCACCTATAGACGGGATTGCGCACTTGACCTCGTTTGACACAGGTTTCTAGAGCTTTTTGGATGATTATATAGTTTTTATCTCTAGTTGTTCCTGGCCAGCCCTGACTGTCTTTGAATGGATGTGTTTATTCAAAGTTAGTTTTGTTTTGTTTTGTTGTATTTAGGATTATTATATACGTTGGAATTGCATGACTTTGAATTAGGTATGCATTGCAAAAACAATATTTGTGAATATTCATGCAATATAATCTGGCGTCAATCGAGCATGACGGGCTGTCGGCACACATAGATTATGGTGGCATTTTTGTTTTATCTTGGCACTAGTTTGTAGTTAATACCCTACATTATATTATTCGTAAATTTTTAGGGTTTTGTGTATTTTTATATCAATCAAAAGTTGCTAGCCAGTTAGAACAAGGAGTTGCACATGACGAAATCCGCCATCTCGTTTTAAGATAGTGACAAAAAACTATTCTCAGTTGGAATAAAAACGAGTCTAAGTACAGTATTACCAATAAGGAATTGATTGCCCAGCAGACCTAAAATCCGTTAATACGTAATTAATCATTATGATAATGTTTCAGACTAAGAAATAAAGCATTCATGAATACAGAAGGGTCTTGATGGGGGCCTTCATTTTGTATTCTTTAATTTTTTATGCCATTTTTCTCTATTCTTTGTACTTTTTGCCTATTATTCTCTATTCTGTAAACCCCTATCCACTTCTTCATACAGAAGTCCGATCGAAGGTAAAATAAAAACTAGAATTAGCGTGAAACATGAAGAGAAAGTCCGGCAGATCTGAACATCCATAAAGAGACGACCATTTGGTATCATGGGGACAGAGGATTTTTTGTTCAAATGACTATTCGTTTTCATCAGGTTTATTTTTATTTAAATTTTTTTTATGCTTTGCCGCGGAAATATTTGAATTTACTTTTGTACACAATTGATTCCTGAATTTTGTATTGCAGAATAATTTTGTAATCGTGTCATACGCAAGAATATTCATTTTCAGCTCTGACCAGCCAGAATATTCATTTTCAAAATTCTCCTATTCCCCTCCCAAGCAAATCAAATTGTCGTCCCCTTACACAGTACAACTAATCATTCCAGACAAAATCTTTAATCATTTCATGATACAAAAGCGGAGTAATATGCAACGAAAGATTAAGACGTACAAATTGACGGACGAAAGAATGGACAGATGGAATGTCGGACAAGGCGAATGCAGTATACCATCCTTTCGTCTAGTTGGAGTATAACAACTAGACGAAATGCCGACAAAATTACTTAATTCCCTTTACAGAATAATGTCTGTATAAAGTTGCTTTTAGATATTTCTCTGACTGGTAATAATAATAATAATAAATTATTAATTTAACGAAGGTAACTCATTTAACATACAATTGTTAATCTCACACGAGGCCTTCACACATTAAAATGAACAATATTCATAACAATCAATGCATATAACACAATAATCAATAGAGATGTACACAATTACAAATGTATATACACAAGCATGAAAAAAGACTGTTGAACTGGCATGGCAAGAATGTCCTACTAGTGTATGTAAGTTAAGTTGCTTTCTGATTTGCCTTATCGCAGCAATACATGAATAGATTGGAAATTAGAAATATGACACTAAACGTAAAAATACCTACTGTAATCAGGCAATGTGTTATCTCTACTTTATTGTTTGCGGCTGCTAGATGCAGTGCTGTGCGACCATCACTCATCTTATCACTTGTGCATTTTCTATTAAGTCTGACCATCAAATCTACAACGCTGAAATAATATTTAATCATTCGTTAAAAATACATTTTCTGTATTTAAATTGATGAACACATAGCAATAGTTTTTGAGTACAGTAAATGCATAAAAAATATCTGATATTGTCAAAAAAATAACAAAAAAAAGTTTTAAAAGTCATTAAATAAAGCTAAAGCTTTTTTATCAGTTGGACTCTATAGGATAGTTGTCTCATTAACAATCCTACCACAACTTCCAAGTCTAAATGCAACATAACACATTTAACTCTTTTCGCTGTCGTAATATATATATCCATAATGGTAATCAGATATAATGATCAACAATTCCATAGTAATATACTTAACCCTGAGGTTTGACTTGGATATAGGATATCGTCATCCCTTGGAGTTCTCTCGTCACATTGCTTCAGGAGTTGGGCGTAGGTTTTGCATGTGCAGGATCTATAAATACACAGTCGCGTCCGCTCGTAATTAAGACCTTTTAATCCAATACTTCCTGGACTAAATGTTAAGCCTCTGCATGATCAAGTTTGGTGGGGTTGTTGGTTTATGTTTGGTGTTTTGTGGACTTTTGGCTTGTTTTTTTTTATTGTTTTTTTTTTAATTTTTGCTATGGTTTCGTTTGCTTTTTTATTGCCCCCTTGATATATATGCTTCCATTTTTTTACTATTCTTAAACAATTAATTTTCCAGTTTATTAACCTTACATTAAAATTCTCATATATGTTATTTCTGTTTACAACTTCCGTTTCAAGACATATATTTTACTGTAATGGGTTATAGTATGAGTTCTTTCAATGTTCAATGAGGGTCGGTTGAAAACAAAACTTTACGACAAAAGAGATGATTTCAGCTTCCCAATTGTGAACTTTCCACGTCTATGTAGCAACATTCCAGCAGCGCCTGCATACGGAGTATAAATCTCCCAATTGATACGATATTCCCGGGATTGTATTTCCTATCATGATTTCCTTGATAGAGGGTTGCTGCTCACAAGGAAGCTATTAAACCAAGAGTTCCAAATGGTGAAGTTGAAATCATCCCTTCGTAAGTTTTACGGACGCCATCACGAGTTGGTTGACCGTTATGAAATAATCGTTTCACAAATGATATCGGATATGTTCCTTATGTCGTAATTACAATCCACTTCCTTTTTCACCACGAATGTGACCTACCGGATTAGACTATTTACCGGATTTGTAATAACATGAGTAACACGACGGGTGCCACATGTGGAGCAGGATCTGCTTACCCTTCCGGAGCACCTGAGATCACCCCCAGTTATTGGTGGGGTTCGTGTTGCTTAGTCTTTAGTTTTCAATGTTGTGTCTTGTGTACTATAATTTGTTTGTTTGTCTTTTTTTTTTTTCTTTTCTTTTTTTTTATAGCTATGGCCTTGTCAGTTTATTTTCGATCTATGAGTTTGACTGTCCCTCTGGTATCATTCGCCCCTCTTTTATGTACCTTTTTGGTATTCATCTGATTTTGAGTCAAGACGGTAGGAGAGAGATCTTTTTTTAAACGTATGTAACTCCGAGTACAACCTCGTCAGTGGTAGTTCATTTTAAATATTGATTGTCTTGTCATTTACGGTACTTGGTATTGATGGTTTTTGCAACTTTATTTCTAGTCTGAGGCGGACTAATGCTTGCCATATTGTATAGATAGAATGTTCAACTGTAGATGTCTTTTGGTCCTTGTCTATAGGTTACTTTCCCGTCGAACTGTACAGCATATATAGTGTCTTGTATTCATGTATCTCAGAGTAAAGATGTCCAGAAAAGCAATATAAGGTATATCGAACTTATAGTTGTAATAAACAATGCAACATATTTAACATTTGAGATATTGGTTACTTGAAATTTTCAGATAACTATAATCTGAACTACGTTTTATTGCCTGTATTTTAATTTGTTAAACGTCCGATATCTACTTTATGTATTGATCATGTGATATCCCTCATCTCGTGAATGCTGTATCAAGACTTTATCTCGTTGTAGACTTTACTGTGCATATATCAAGAGGTCAGCTTTTACTTATTTAAAACTGACTTTCTTGTCAATTTTCTAATTTAAAACTTTAAAATGCATACTATCTATTATTCTTCATCACAGCAAACGACAATACAGGATATCCATTTCCATTTACTACTGAAAACTTGGCCTTCTTTGATCTAAATATAGATTTGAGTGTTTCATGTGGGCAATCTTTCTGTGATACAACAAAGTGCATGACTGTGTCCTTTTTAGCGTCCTAAAATGAAACGAAAGTCACTAAAGTACTTAAGGTTTTTCAAAGATACATGTGATTAAAATGAAATCTTGTTTTTTAAACAACTCTCTGTATGAAATAAAGTCGCCATATGCATTAAACTAATTTTGCATGTATGCAAACTGCATTAACAGTGAACACTCAGTAAAGTTATAGCAGTAGTTTGTCTAAAACTTTGTTTGATCTACTTGCTTAACTGCAAATTATCTTACCGTTGTAGAACATCGTTATTAAAGATAGACTCACTTCATTATAGTTCCCTTTAATCTATAGGTTTTTGTTAATTAATGTAATTCATTATATACTTTTTTTAATAGGTAAATACAAAATGTGGGTGTAACCTAGTTCTCATTTTTTTTCTCATTTTTGAATTGTTGGAATCAGGTAAATAATACAGTTTTCTTACACGGAATTTAAATGTAAACATAGACATTAACTACAGGGATGTATATATATTATGTTTCGAATCAAGAATCTACCTGTAAACTAGGATCAGCCCCTTTATCTATCAAAATATTACAGCCTTTCCAGTTGCTTTTGTTGACAGTAATGTGCAATGCTGTCTGTTGTTTTGCATTTGTGATGTTTACGTTTGCGCCATTGTCAGCAAGATGTTTCATAATGCCAGATTCATTTCTATAAATTTAAAGAAAAACTGATCTAATCGACAGTTTAACAAATAAGATGAAAACTATACATATTGTTTGATTTAGTGTTTTCTCCCGACAAACTTTTTTATCATCCCATACTTGTTTTCACAAGTTAAATGTTTACAAATATAAGACTGTTTCAGAAAAAAGATAAAGCTTTACACAATAATGCTTTCATGTTTCTAATGTTTTCATTTAGACACTCACTGGTATAAAGTATGAATTAGATGTTTTTTGAAGCTTATACAATACCCATTTGCAGCAAGATGAAGTGCAGTATCCCCGGCCTTGTCTTGTAGATTAACAGATGCATTATTCTGTACAAGAAACACCACAGTGTCATATTTTCCTTCGTAACATGCAACTTGCAGTGCTGTTTGGTCCTTAAATGTTTCATCTATCTGTATAAACCAGACTAAAGTTTTTAACACAGATTCAATTAAACACTTAGATTCAATTAAACACTTAGATGCAATTAAACACTTAGATTCAATAAATAAAAATAATGCAAATATTTAGATTGTTTAGTTGAAGTGTGGTATAAAAAGAGGATGGCTATATCATGTTGGCACCAAAAAAAAAGATCAAAAACCACAAATAGACAAAATCCGAGGTTTACTCAGATGCACTAGAAAGATAAGCTGTTCCTACTGCACAAGTAGCACCCAATGTGTTGTTCATAATATAATAAGTACAATTTCAGTTGAAGTTCTCATTTGGCGATGTCGGAATCGAAGAACAGACCACATAGAAATAAGAAGATGTGGTATGAGTGCCAATGACACAACTCTCCATAAAAGTCACAATATGTAAAAAGTAAACAATTATAGGTCAAAGTACGACCTTCAAAACGGAGCCTTGGCTCACACCGAACAGCAAACTATAAAGGGCCCCAAAATGACTAGTGTAAAACAATTCAAACAGGCAAACCAACGGTCTAATCTATATAAAAATTATAATATTTATGACACAATATAAATACAATATTCAATAAAAAAAGGGGGGATGTAAAACAATGTAAAAAAGACAACTATAACCTTGGACAAAATGGCATTAAATAAAATAACGTACACAAGTAAAATTTAATAAAATAATTTTGTTGTTTGGAGTACGGAAATATTTTTTTACAAAATAAATGAATTTGTTGTTCATAGTACGAGAACAGAAGTGAAAATTTATCGTCATACTAAATACTTATCAAAGGTGGTACGAGACATAACACAAAATAAGTAAACATTGAATAACAAAAATGCATTACAAATTGTATCAACAGGTCAAATTAACACGAAAGTACGATTTGAGAGTACTCGCATTTTCTGAAAGCTAGTTAAAAGCCAAAAACAAAGAATAATAAAAAAAAATATGCATCAGAGACGAAAATCAACTAAACACATCACAGGGATTTAGTGTTTTAATGCCATGGACAGTCAAAGAAGACATGACTTGTACAATGCCAAAAGTATCGACAGGCAGTAGGATAGTTTGGATTTAACCTTATAATGAATATGTATAATGTTATATATAGATAAAGCAATCTCTATATAGAAAATGATCGTGGATGTGTATTTATACATTCCAAAAAAACATTCGAAAAGAATACAAATATAGTTATGTTTTAACTTGTTGATGACAAAATCGATATTTGTGCCTATGTAAACAATATTCAAAGATCTTATTACAACATTATTAAGATAACCTTTACTAATAAGTTTGTTTAAAACTCGATGAGTTTACACGGATCACATAGTCATTTCCGCGCTTTTAGTACAATATTACTGTAAAATTTAGAATGTGAAATACGGTTTCTAAAAAGTTTTCTACAGGTACAGCCAAATTTACTAATTAAATCTTTGTATCTATGAAAAAAATTTAGTAAAAGTTTTAAGTAATTTATGGTAACGAAATCCCTGACTTAATTATTAACCAGTGATGGATTGATTACGTTCGTTAAAATCTATGACATCACTACACACACGGGCATAACGAACGAGTTGGGATATATAAACACCGTATGATGGAGACAAAGAAACATCGTCGTCTAAAAAAGGAAAATTAACAATAGGGAATGAAAAATCGTCTCTTTTGTCGTAAATTTTAGTATGGAGTTTCCCTTTAGAAATTGAAATGTCTAAATCTAGAAAAGGACAACTACTGCTGTTTATGTTATATTTATTTAAAGTATACTAAGTTCCTTTGGGTAAATTTCGGTAGTATATTTAGAGAACTCTGGATTAATTAACGAAAAAATATCATCAAGATAACGGTAGATATTGTTGAATGTGTCAACCAAATGTAACAATGACGTGTCTTTATTGAGTTTGGTCATAAACTGAGATTCATAGCAATACAGGAATAAATCTGCTATTAAAGGGGCGCAATTAGTGCCCACAGGAATACCTACTACCTGTCGATACACTTTATCGCCGAAACGTACATACATGTTGTCCAGGAGAAAATTTAAAGCTTCAACAATATCTTCACATTTCCAGTAAGTGTATCTAGCATAATTTCTTTTTTCGTTACAGAAAAAGGCTTTAAACGAGTTACCGCAATTAAATTTGCAACGAGCATGACGGGATTGTGCCTTGCGACAATTGAAACATATCCATTATCATCTTAGACACAAGTATTCCATAACAGTCAGCTAAAGCATGATTGTATTCGTAAAACATTCAAATTAAGTGATGTCCTCAACTTGACAGTCTCTTCGAGAACCTTAGTTCCTTAGCTTTCTTGCAAGCAGCAAGCCTCTATCAACAAAATCATAATAGGAAAAGCAACCACTGTGCTATCGTATCAAATCGAGGACACTCTTATATATGCAGATCCTGCTGAAATGTTGCTAAACATATGTAAGAGCTAACAAATACATATTTAATATAAAAAGGAGACCTTATTAGGATAACGATTAACCAATCTTCCAATAGTTTCCAAATCTCCCTTTGAGGCCGCGTCAACGAGTGAAACATTGATGTTCTCCTCAGCAGAAGTTTGTTCCTCTTGTAGCAAATCATAGAAAAATTCTGCAAGATTTTCTGATACCTCTGAATAAAAAAACCAATATCGAAAAGGATTTTTATACATTGGTTCATTATTATAATATTCCATTTTTATCGCTATTTTACGAATTGTTCCTTTGATCTTGCTGACTGATAATTTCCTTTCTCAGCGGAGTCGAGTGATATGAAAATTATCGCTAGAAACTAAGGGAACATGTGCCGTTGTCAAGGAAATCAACAACGTCTTCATAAGTAAAATAGCGATAAACAGATTATCATTGGTCATCTCAACTCGATTGCTTTTCTCACTTTCGCCGTACCGGCTCAAGCGAGAAAATCAATCTCGTTGAGATAACCAACGATAATCTATAAATATCAAAACTGAAAAATGTAAAAAGAATGACGTATCTACTTGATAATTAAAAAAAAAACATGCAAGTTTATTTCAATCTTAAGTAAAACTTAACAAAATTAACATGCAGGTTGTCAGTGGATTATTGTGTTATTGCTGTTAACCAGAGCGGAATTGTGCCTACGACATTTCATTTACTTTATATTCAGTCGATATTGCAGCAAACCCGAGGTATAGCAAAACATGAAATAATATAAAATCAATGAAAAATATTAACAACTAAAACAATCGCACAGTGTAAAACCTTAATGTTTATAAAGCACGTAAATTTACATATGGTGCTTGTAAACTTATTGATTCTTTCAAATAACTTAATTTTAAAAGACATCATACTGTATTAAGATCTAGGAATATAGGTTTTGTCATTGATTGGCTGGACGTAGGCCCATATGGTGTTAACAGTTGGATAACTATACTTTAACTTAATGTATGCATGAAAATATTAAAGAATTAGAAGATGATATTCAATACAAAGTAATCAACTTTTAAACCGCTGGGATAGACCAAAAGAAATTGACTGTCGAAAATGTGAAAAATAAAAATAGTGAACGAAATATCGTCTCTTTTTTCCTAGATTTTAGTGAAGAGTTTCAAGTACGTTGTTGTCTTCTCAACCAAAATTGTTTCTACTTCATTCTCCTTTAAACGCAAATAAATATAGAAGAATATAATGTCCAGCAGCCAATTTCGAACAAAGATTGAACAGTGAATCATCACATTTTGTTAATAGTATTCTAACTCGGGTCGATTGTACTCCTAATAATGCTAACTAATGTGTGGTAGGTACCTGTATAGTTGTCATCAACACTGTCATCAGTATCATCAGAATCATCGTTGTCTTTATCTGTACATGCAGCTAGAGCTTGCTTTGTTAAAGGATCACCTTCAGTGGGTGTGATACATGTTGGATTGAATATCCATTTTTTATTTTCTATTTGTACCATCATATCTCCTTCGCTGTCCAATCGCACGATATGTCCATTCTTTCCAAGTGCCTAAAACAAGAATAAAACGAAGAAAAACAACATTCTGCCTACAGACTGTCGAATATAAATGTTACTATATAAATACATTCATGTCCGATGATTGGCTAATCGATTAAGAACAGCGACATCTAGATTCGATGATATGAATATTTTTAATATATTTATTTTTCTAAGAAACATAATGTCCTGAGCGTATCTTCAATATCTTTTTGTCTTCCTTTATCCATAGTTTTTCCAATAATAAAGTTTCAATACTCCAAAAATATGTTTTATCTTTTTAAATATAAAGACACAAGTGCATTCAAAATTAGGTGTGCATTCTGTGTAATCAACGATGGGTAGACACCCGTTCAAATGTGATTTTCAGAGTTGTTAATGACTTGAGGATTAGAAAATAATATAAAAAGAAAATAAGGGAATGACACCATTCAAATGTTCCAAAACGCAAACCCTACATTTAAATACACAAACAATAACTATCAACATTACATGCCTGGGTATAAACTGTAACAAAATAATGGTCCAATCAACTGTTATAGATAGGTGGATTTTCCCCTCCTATCTTATTTGAACACTTACATGTTTCATTTCATCGTTCCATCCTCCGTGTCCTTTCTGTAATTCCTTTACAACTTTGTAGTCTTTGTGTATTTTTACAGGGTCACCGAGGCTGAACGTGTGCTTCTATTAAAACATAATCATAAATATACTTATGTAGAAGATGGAAATTAAAAATTGTTGTCTAAATTTTCAAAAAAGGAATTTTTCAAAAAATTATATAAATATGTATTCCGTGATTTTTTTGTCGAATTTAACTATGCAATAAAACAATCAAACATTCTAAAGAAATAATGAAATATTATTATTCTTCGAGTTATATTGCTATTTATACTTACTCTAAATAGAGCCATCCTGTTAACAAGCCAAGTTCGACTATCTTCATATTGTAATCTGGCGCTCTTTCCACCATACAAAAAACTGGTTATTGTTCCCGTTTCCTTAAGACACTGTAATAATCAATAATGTCCTTTCACGGTAAGGTTAATATGCATAGTTGCTCTCGAACAAAGGCTTTTCTGTGTAGATCGTTTTTGGTATTTATGTTCATTTTTGTTTATTGTCGTTACTTTAAAAACATAGTTTTTTATCAGCAAGTTTATTATTGTTCAATGCATTTTACAAAATCGATAAATTAGTTTAAGTAATAAAGTGTTTATCATACGTTATTTATAATGTTCCTCTTGGTGCAACCATAATCTCGTTCTCTTTTTTTCGATTGTGACATTACCGAATGGGACTTATTGCCGTGTTTTTACTTGCAATAAAGGGTGTCTTACAAAGCTTTTACTGCTGTATTGATTAGCACCTGAGTTCACATCCAGTTTTAAGGGTGTTCACTACTCTGTTTCAAAATAACAAGCTTTTTGAAATACTCTTATAAATTGATAGTATATGAAAAAAGGAACTAAAAAAGCAGAAAAAATGAAGGATCCGTGTGCTTGTTTTCGAGATATAAGCCTTTGAAAATTTAGAGGGAAATGATTCTCTCGAGATTTTTCATAAATTTAACATTGGCACCTTTTTTCTTTCAAAAACAATGAAAAAATAACAAGGATTTTATAAGATTTTTAAATATGGCTCTTTAAACTATATGTAATAAAATTGTGAAACCAAAAGTAGGGGTTAGCAGGCAAAATTTTTTTAATGGCACTACATAGATAAAACCAGAGGATTTCGATTATCTGGCAAAAACTCAAATACAAGAGGAGCGAACATCCTTAAAGGAGGTTCAAGTTCCTCAATCTTTAGTTTTATGTGCAGTGTTTTGTTGACTTTGTCTTATTTTTTTGCCCATTGTTTGGGGGGGGGGGTTGTACCTTCTGTCTTTAGTATTTTTGTTAATTGTTTTTTTTGTGTTTTGTGTCAATTTTGATGAGTCAAACCTTTTTCAAATGATTTTTTTACACTATATTTTTACGTTGAATTGTACACCACAGTCCCATAGGTAAATTAGTTGGAGGGTTGTGTGCTCGCATACATGTTTAGCTCCGTCGCATGATGAATGTGCCTATACCAAGTCAGGAGCCTGTAATTCAGTGGTTATAGTAAGTTTCTATCGATCATATTTGTTGTTCGTTTTTTTGTTTTTGAACTTAAATAAGGTCGTTGGTTTTCTCGTTTTAACTGTTTTACATTTTGTCATGTCATGGCCTTTAAAAGCTTTTTTGCTTATTGTTGAAGGCCTATGGTGACCTATAGTTGCTTACATCTACGTCATTTGGTATCTGGGTATAGTTGTCTAATTTGGCAATTTTACCATTAGAAAATATTTAGATTAGCAATGTGCTACTTATTTCTTCCTTTTTACTCAAAGCACATTTATACGGATATATAATTTCAAGTATAACACAGTTTTGTGGTTTTGTTTGTTTGGGTGAATAAATTTTTTTTGTTTTTTTTTTTTTTTTCGTATCAAAGGCATTTTTCCTTTATAAGTATCTTTTTTGTTATTATATACAAAATATAGACTATTTAACAAACAATTCACTTAATGTACGGTTACAACACTTCATTGGTATTTTCCTAATGTATAAAGATACCTAAATTCGTATATTACGGGATGTTGACTTTCGGAATGATTACTTACCTGACCCAAACCATCGTCCCATCCACCGTATATTGGATCTTTCTGCATCGCCATAAAAATTTTAAGCGGAAGGTTTATTGTTACTTTGTCACCAATTTTCAAAGCAATTTTTTCGGGATCCACAACATCTGAAGCAAAATATAACATAGTTGACAACTGTCATTCTATATTTTTTAGTATCGGTATTATTAAGAATGTACACATAATTATGAACACACTCTGCTTCATGTTTAAATACCTTTCTCAGGTCACGACTCACAATTGTAGATCGCTTTAATGAAGTTCTAAAATTTTAGTTTCTCTTGATTTTGTTCAGACTTTGGGAGATTTAGAAATAAAAATATAGGAAAGCCAATTGCAAATGTTTTTTTTATTTATGGGCAAATAGAGGTCTCTAAGTGTCTTGTTTGGGTTGTTTGCCTTCTAGATCCCGTTTATTCAACTACATTTTTGTTAGTTCAGCTATAAGACAACTATATATATTCAACAGAGTCCTAATGACGAGGATTAAAGCAATAAAGGCCATCTTACGGCCTTCAACAACAGTTTGGTGATGAGATAAATATTTACGACGGCTGCGTGATTAAGATACTTACTGACAACGGGTAGATGATCAAGATACTTACTGACAACGGGTAAATGATTAAGATACTTACTGACAACGGGTAGATGATCAAGATACTAACTGACAACGGGTAGATGATCAAGATACTGACTGACAGCGGGTAGATGATCAAGATACTTACTGACAACTGGGAAGATGATTAAGATAATGACTGACAACGGGTAAATGATTAAGATACTTACTGACAATGGGTAGATGATTAAGATAATGACTGATAACGGGTAAATGATTAAGATACTTACTGAAAACGGGAAGATGATTAAGATAATGACTGATAACGGGTAAATGATTAAGATACTTACTGAAAACGGGTAGATGATCAAGATAATGACTGATAACGGGTAAATGATTAAGATACTTACTGAAAACGGGTAGATGATCAAGATAATGACTGATAACGGGTAAATGATTAAGATACTTACTGACAACGGGTAGATGATCAAGATACTTACTGACAACGGGTAGATGATCAAGATACTTACTAACAACGGGTAGATGATTAAGATAATTACTGAAAACGGGTAGATGATCAAGATAATGACTGATAACGGGTAGATGATCAAGATACTTACTGACAACGGGTAGATGATCAAGATACTTACTGACAACGGGTAGATGATCAAGATACTTACTAACAACGGGTAGATGATTAAGATACTTACTGACAACGGATAGATGATCAAGATACTAACTGACAACGAGTAGAATATTAATATACTTACTGACAACGGGTAGATGATAAAGATACTTACTGATAACGGGTAGATGACCAAGGTACTGACAACGGGTACATGATCAAGATACTTACTGACAACGGATAGATGACCAATATACTTACTGACAACAGGTGGATGATTAAGATACTTACTAACAACGAGCAGATGATTAAGATACTTACTGACAACGGGTAGATGATCAAGATACTAACTGACAACGGGTAGATGATCAAAATACTCACTGACAACGGGTAGATGATCAAGATACTTACTGACAACGGGTAGATGATCAAGATACTGATTGACAACGGGTAGATGATCGAGATACTTACTGACAATGGGTAGATGATTAAGATACTTACTGACAACGGATAGATGATTAAGATACTAACTGACACCGAGTAGAATATTAAGATACTTACTGACAACGGGTAGATGATTAAGATACTTACTGACAACGGGTAGATGACCAAGATACTGACAATGGGTAGATGATCAAGATACTCACTGACAACGGGTAGAAGATTAAGGTACTTACTGACAACGGGTAGATGATCACAGTAATAGTTACCACCCGTGTTCGTATCTGTCTTATCAACACAAATCACATCAATACAACCTTCAGCCCCAACACGGTAGTTCTTTACTGATTTATCTGCCTTCCATACAACTTTTACTCCTCCACGATATCCATCTTTACCCCATGTACATATCTCTTTAATTATACCGATACCGGATTCACCACCTAGATTCGGAAATAATGTATTTTACGCTTAAATTATACAATAAACAAGAACAGTTGATGTTCTTAGTGTTACTTAAAATTGAGAATGGAAATGGGGAATGTGTCAAAGAGACAACAACCCGACCATAGAACAGACAACAGCAGAAGGTCATCAACAGGTCTTCAATGCAGCGAGAAATTCCCGCACCCGGAGGCATCCTTCAACTGGCCCCTAAACAAATATATATACTAGTTCAGTGATAATGAACGCCATACTAAACTCCAAATTGTACACAAGAAACTAAAATTAAAAATAATGCAAGACTAACAAAGGCTAGAGGCTCCTGACTTGGGACAGGCGCAAAAATGCGGCGGGGTTAAACATGTTTATGAGATCTCAACCCTCCCCCTATACCTCTAGCCAATGTAGAAAAGTAAACGCATAACAATACGCACATTAAAATTCAGTTCAAGAGAAGTCCGAGTCTGATGTCAGAAGATGTAACCAAAGAAAATAAACAAAATGACAATAATACATAAATAACAACAGACTACTAGCAGTTAACTGACATGCCAGCTTGTAATACTACCAATATGTTTAACTAACAACCATTCAGCAGCTATAACAAAACTCCTTCGCCATGTATACAGGATATTTACATATTTTCGCCCCAAATACAGTTCCAAACATTTTGATTGATAGATGGATAGCTTGGTGTTTTACGACCAGTTTCAAATATTACATGCATATCAGGAATAGAAAATGTTATTGTGATATGAGTTTGAAATCTGCTTAGCTTTCTACTTGAAAAAAAGTAAAGTAACAAAAATATCGAACTGCAAGAAAAAATTCAAAACGGAAAGTCTTTTATCAAATGGCAAAATCAAAAGCTCAAACACATCAAACGAATGGAAAACAACTGGAAGACACATTTAGTCAGATGTTTTACTTTCTAGTTTAAACGGTAACAGTCGCAGGAAAACATGTCACCCTATCCAAAAACATCATTCAAACCCCGAGCCGACCTGTTTTCCATTTACTCCCAATTGCCATGTACTAAACTGGGAAGTTGGGAAGAACACAATGCCACATTTTGAGTGTGGGTTGGTTTGACTTGATTGGTGATCGAATCCAAGACCTCTTGAACTTGTAACGAGCAACATACGAAGCGGTGATTAAGGTCTCAGCTGATTAAGGTCTCAGCTGATTTCATGAAGTGATAATCAAGCAGATTCAGGTACAGAAAGCTAAACAAAACAAATCAACACGAAAACAGAGTAAATTTCTTTATGGATGCATCTAATTGGAATAATCGCTACATCTCTTATTCATATATAGTAGTATAGTAGCCTGTAGTACAGTGGTTGTCGTTGGTTCTTATCTGTCACATTTGTTTGTCGTAAATTGTTTTGTTATAAATTAGGCCGTTAATCTTCTCAATTGAATTGTTTCATATTTTTCATGTCGAGGCCTTTTATGGTTGACTATTCGGGATGGGTTTGTCTCAATGTTGAAAGCCATACGGTTGCCTATAATTGCTTACATTCACTTTATTTTAACTTAGGTGGATAGTTGTCTCATTGGCAATCATACCACATCTCCTAATTTTCATAGAAACATGTGCCAAAATTCCTTTATATGACTCTTATATACATTCATTGAAAAAATGCGATTGAATCGACCGTAAAAACCTATGAACAGATAGATGGATTAGTGTTTTTAATACGTTCAGCAATAAACATAACATTTATATCAGGACGGGAACATTATAATGTGATATGAGAATGAACCTTGCATTGTTCTAGATCTGTACACTGAGCAATATATTTATCGCGCTCTTTCACAAGGTAATAGTCAATGAATAGACATATCACCTTATTATTCTGACTCCGAGTTGAACAGTATTTTTATCTTGTTCTTAATGACTCGATCGTGCTTATCCAAGGCCTCATGTATCTCATTCAATTCAAATACTTTATTGTTTGAATCAATTATATTTAAACAAAGGAGTTGGATCGCAAGGAGATGGTCACCCTACCAGGAGACCACTACGGCGGTTTAACTGAAGGGAGAAGCAGACAAGAAATTGGACATTTAACTACATAAAAATGTGATTAGACTACATATCACATGTCCAAGCTTTGCATCTGAAAACGCTACATCCTACTTTCTGTTTTATGGACCTTTCATGATCCTCTGGTTTTGACGGATTAATACACACCTTCAATTTTGAAGACTGAAATTTCATTAGCTGATGTAATAATTGCCAAGATCTGTATCTTAATCAGATCGATTACAAAAATGCTTGCTTTTATATAAAATACACGCAATTCATAATTTGCTACGATTATACTTGTAATACAGTAAATCAAATAATGTTTTTGTCCCGTGTATAATTTGATTGATATAAATACGTATAACAGTACCGTCGTCATTTTTCCATTTCCAATGTGGTCCTCTCATTACTTGTACATTAGAGAATAACCCACGTGCTGTCTTCCTGGAGACCTTGCTGTCCGCTCTAGGTGGTACGTTTACGCTATTGTGGAACGAAACAAACATGATTTACACATACATGTAAAATATAATTATGTCACTTATTTGAAGAAAAAATATTAGGATGACCTAGTAGTATTATATTAACGTAAAAATTCATGTGTATATAAATATAAAAAATATCGTTATCCATTTAACCCCCATAGATATACTAAAATATTGCATGATTTACCGTTTTTGTTGTACGATAACATTTCGCATGTCTAAGCTTTGTTTTGTAATTATTGAAAGTGGAAGTTAATATAAAAATAAGAAGATGTGGTATGATTGCAAATGAGAAAACTCTCCATCAGAGGCCAAATGACATAAAAGTTTACCGACTTATTTTCATATTTTATAGATTATTAATCGCATATATATGTTATTGTTCTGGGCATGCTCTCATACATTACTTGTAACTCTCCTTTTATATTCATTTTTTGAAATAATTATGTAACGTGGTTTTTTTTTTAATTTTTAAAGTTTCTATAACAAAAGGGGGGATGTGGTATGAATGCCAATGAGACAACTATCCACCAGAGTTCAAAAGACGAGGATATAAGCAATTATAGATAACAGTACGGTCTTCAACATTGAGAAAAATCCATACCGTATAGTCAGCTATAAATGGCCCCGATATGAAAGATGTGAAACAATTTAAACGAGAAAACAAACGGTATTATTTATAACATTACAAATGATGAAACGCTAATATTCTAGTTCGACAGACACGAGCCAACGACAAACCCTGAATAACAGGCTCTTGACTTGGGACAGGCACATAAAGAATGTAACGGGCCGGGCTTAAACTAATTTTTGAGCTCTCAATCCTCCCTTATCTGGGACCGTGGTCTGGTCTATAAACTTTTTATTTCTTGTTTGCTTTCTTTAAAGATTTTGTGTTTTAGTATCGTATATTTGATTTGACCGTGTATGTTAAGTTGTTGAGGTTTTATTCATAAATACTTTAATTGGTGCATCCAGCACAAAACCGAATTATTTGCGATTGTTTTTATTTTACAAATATATTAATAAAAATTATCGGCAAGCATGATAAATGGTATTTTACATTTACTCTATGTGTTCGAATTGTGCATAAAGATAAGTATAACCATATCGAATCTATGTGTACCAGCAATAAAATATTTAATTTTATTTTACAACACGAAATCAAGGAACTACATGTAACACTTTTTAAACTTCAATTATAAGTCTTTGTGTATAATGAAATACAAACAATCCAAGGTATGCATTTATTTTCATCAAAATGTTGGTATCAATATCGAACCCTAAATGACGCCGCTCTTTTAGTCAAGTGCGGTATTTGCAAAAGCAATTGAACACATTATTACTTACGGTGACGACTGTGGCGAGTCAATTCGTTCAAATGAATGCTGTGTGTCATGTTTGTCTGCCATATAACACGCTGAACACAAATTATAATTTCCACAGTCACAACATTTCCACCGGGCTCCATGGATATCCTTCTCTTTACAGCTTTCGCAATTCACACCACTGTGAATGACTCCTAAACACGTTTAATTTCAAAATATAGTAATGCCTGAATACTGCTGTACATCGAATTCCTTTCAAATGGTATCATTAAAAAAAATGTAACTTGTGTGCTCGAAAGGATCATCCAAATATTATCTAATAAAGGCCAACAGCCACATAACTTGAAGTAAGTGAAAATGGACAGTTAAAAAGGTGTCAACTAAAAAGTAAAGAAAGTCTCGGAGTTTTTCTGAGCAAAGAAATGAGTTCCTATACTTTTGAGGTGACAAGAACCATCATTCTTTTGATAGAAATACAATATGTTTTAGATCAATCGAAATTCGACTTCCATTAAAAAGTAACTATAATACCATTTGAGATGCTAATTATTAGAATCCAAAGGGGACAATAGAAAGATAAAAAATTAAGAATATCAGTACTGATTTCTTAATGTATTCCCTGATTAGATTTCGGAAACGGTAACACCATGTGTTGATTCTGTTTATGTAAGCTTCTAATTGTTTGGTTGTTTTTCTGTCAGCTTCTTCAAAGACACAGAACTAAAGAACATTCAAATTTTAAAAGCTTTGACTAAAACTGAAAAGAGAGACAAAACTTGCAACACTGTTCAATCTATGGAAACTACAAACCAAGAATGATTTAATCTTCATATTAAATTTGTGTTTTCATTTCGTAACTTTTCATACAAAAATTGATAGTCAACAGTCTGCTACCAAAGTGAGAATTTTTATATCTTCCGTCATTTTTTTTTCATTTGATTGAAACAATATATATGGACTGCATCCGTAAATTAAAGTTAATATGAAAAGCCCTCCCTATAAGGAAATAATGCTATACTGTTTTCTGAACTTTTATATATTCGTTTGATTTGCATATAAGAATGAACAAATAAGGATGAAACAAACAACAAAATTACAGTTAACAGCAAATATAAGATTCAGATACGACGAAGTTACCTGCAGGTGCAGAATCAAAGACTCTTAAATCATATTTTCCATGTAGACCTGCAATGTACCTCAACTCTCGACCAGAATCCCAAATGACCGTGACTTTCTTATCATCCGATCCTTGCTTAGGCACATAAACAATAGTGCCGAGAAATCCTTCACCATTATCTTGCCTTTGATTATTCCAATCAGGTCCACGTACGACCCGAACACCCGTTTTCGTCCGCTGAAAGTGTAGTGATATTTGAATAATATATATTGTGATTGTTGTCAACCTTGGTCTTGACTGTATTTCTGTTAACGATACTTATATTTTGACAGTACTTGTATCATGTATATAATGCAGGATGATTTAACGCTGTTTGTTTAAGCTTCTGGTTTTGAAATAAAAAGGTAACACCATGATTTTTACAGATGTTTAATGAGTTTATGCGCATGTTAGCACATAAAGTAGAGATTTACGATAAATAAATATTTTTTGGGGGATTTTTCGCCGAAGGATATTCATTTTCATCTCGTGCTAGGCTGCCTTATTTCCGTGGTTTTGGCGCAAGCAAATTTATTTTCTATTTGTCCAAAATTATGTCAGGCATCTTAGGGAACAGAATATTTGTTTCATCCTGTCTTGAGCAAAATTATTTATCTTCAGTTCTTGCCAGGCAAGCATATGTATTTTCAAAATTGTTGGTGCTCCAAACCCTATAAAATCAGATGATAGTCTCTTAAACTACAGTTGCGATGTAGAAAGACACATTAAATAGATTATTGAATGATTCGACTGACTTCACAACCGGAAGTATAACATCATCCTTCATTTCCAGGTAATAAAGTATTATTCTTATTTTTCTATGAGTCAGAAAATTATTTTATTTAAAGAAGATACATTGATAAAAATCGAAAAAAACAAGAACACTCAATATTACAGGTGTACATTTTAACTATCAATGACTATTTCAACTAAGAGGCCGCACAATGTAAGAAAATAAAATTCCATAACTTTCATTTCATTCTATTACTGTGTTGGATGGAAATGTGATTTTTTTTTTATCTTAAAGCAGTAAACAGTCTAAGATGCACATGAATATTTTTACCGACATAAATACCTCCTTAGTACATGTATTCATTTTTATAATTAAAAAAATATGACGATACTTTCGTTTTGGGTTCTTTAATGATGGTATGACAAATAACTCGCCGGAGATTCGGTCGCCTAATTGGAACTATTTATTACATTAAATGTCATAAACTATATACATACCATTGTTGCTGCCAATTTGGTCAAATTTATCTGCGTGATATGTAAAACTTGCACATTCTTTACTTTGTCTTCCTATAGTTAACGGTTATAACATCCGTGTTGACATGTTGAGATATATTTACAACAAAAATAATCAATGCGTTTAATAAACAAGCATTATGGGTATTTTTGGAAAGGTATTTAAATCTTTAAATTTCCTTTCCGCGAAGCCAGGATTGTCTTATTTTTATTCCTAACCACATCTCCACGTCGATATCAAGTCTAAATTCTTTTTGAAAGAACTTGCGAATTGATACATTACTATATTTGAATTTTAGTCTTTTTATGTGATCATGTATCATACCGGATAAAACTTTGCCATGCACATGTTTTACAGAAGACCGTATCAATAAGTTTATGGTTGAGTATTTATTGTATCTTGTATCCGTTGTCATGCATGTACACTCAATGTATTCATATTATCAAGGGAATAAATTAAGAATATAATAAGACTATTAACGAGCATTATAAGGTCATACAGGGCTAAAGCTTTCTGATAAAAAGCAAAAGTATAAAACAGCAAGGTGAATAAGACATATATGATTTTAATATGTTTTGTTGGCACATTGAACATATTTGTGTTAAAAAAAAGACCGCGCTGAAGTACGTCCATTGTTCATTTTTCATTATTCATATTTCAATAATGAATAATGAAATAGTTCACTATTCACTATTCAATGTTAAGTGATGAATAATGAATAATGAAACAGTTTATGTTTCATTATTCAAGTTGAAGCGGTGAATAGTTAAATAAAAATTAAAAAATTGACAATGACACTATAGCTATATCCCGTATTTCTAAATTAGTCTTTTTGGTGTTATCTAACAAATATTCAAATTGATATCAGAAAAAAATAAATAAAAATACTCTTTTAATTCTAAATTGATTTATTTATCTGGTTCCTAGTTTCGGAGGATAAACTAGTGGGTTTTCCTAACTATTTTTAACAGAAATTCCTTGGTTCAATGTATGGACGACCTGAATACCAAAATATATATTTATAAATTAAAATACTCTACGTGGTCTTTTTTTATTTTCACTGGACCTTTGCTATTCTTCATCCTCTAATTATAGATATAACAAGTCGATTATTCAGCAATGACCATTAGAGGGGTTACGGAGGACCTAAATGCCAAAATACGCGTGAAAATTAAGAAATAGCCAATTTTGAATAATGAAATGGATATTTTGAATAATGGAATGGACTGCTGCGACCCTTTAGCCCCTAATTATAGATATACCTTATACCTCATTCGAAAGCTTATTAAGAGAGAAACAAAAGGTATATAGTCAATATGTTCCGCAACGCATATTAGAGGAGTAACGAAGGACCTACATATCGAAATACGCGTGAACATTAAGAAATAGTTTATTTTGAATAATGGAATGGACTGCTGCAACCCGTCAGCCCCTTATCAAGGAAAAATTTATACACCAAATTAAAGCTTATTGATAGAGGAATAAACTGAGTATAAACGATATTTGCCGCAATGACCATTAGAGGGGTTACGGAGGACCTAAATGCCAAAATACGCGTGAAAATTAAGAAATAGCCAATTTTGAATAATGAAATGGATATTTTGAATAATGGAATGGACTGCTGCGACCCTTTAGCCCCTAATTATAGATATACCTTATACCTCATTCGAAAGCTTATTAAGAGAGAAACAAAAGGTATATAGTCAATATGTTCTGCAACGCATATTAGAGGAGTAACGAAGGACCTAAATATCGAAATACGCGTGAACATTAAGAAATAGCTTATTTTGAATAATGGAATGGACTGCTGCAACCCGTCAGCACCTAATCAAGGAAAAATTTATACACCAAATTAAAGCTTTTTGATAGAGGAATAAACTGAGTATAAACGATATGTGCCACAATGACCATTAGAGGGGTTACGGAGGACCTAAATGCCAAAATAGGAGTGAAAATTAAGAAATAGCCAATTTTGAATAATGAAATGGATATTTTGAATAATGGAATGGACTGCTGCGACCCTTTAACCCCTAATTATAGATATACCTTATACCTCATTCGAAAGCTTATTAAGAGAGAAACAAAAGGTATATAGTCAATATGTTCCGCAACGCATATTAGAGGAGTAACGAAGGACCTAAATATCGAAATACGCGTGAACATTAAGAAATAGCTTATTTTGAATAATGGAATGAACTGCTGCAACCCGTCAGCACCTAATCAAGGAAAAATGTATACACCAAATTAAAGATTATTGATAGAGGAATAAACTGAGTATAAACGATATGTGCCACAATGACCATTAGAGGTGTTACGGAGGACCTAAATGCCAAAATAAGCGTGAAAATTAAGAAATAGCCAATTTTGAATAATGAAATGGATATTTTGAATAATGGAATGGACTGCTGCGACCCTTTAGCCCCTAATTATAGATATACCTTATACCTCATTCGAAAGCTTATTAAAAGAGAAACAAAAGGTATATAGTCAATATGTTCCGCAACGCATATTAGAGGAGTAACGAAGGACCTACATATCGAAATACGCGTGAACATTAAGAAATAGTTTATTTTGAATAATGGAATGGACTGCTGCAACCCGTCAGCCCCTTATCAAGGAAAAATTTATACACCAAATTAAGGCTTATTGATAGAGGAATAAACTGAGTATAAACGATATTTGCCGCAATGACCATTAGAGGGGTTACGGAGGACCTAAATGCCAAAATACGCGTGAAAATTAAGAAATAGCCAATTTTGAATAATGAAATGGATATTTTGAATAATGGAATGGACTGCTGCGACCCTTTAGCCCCTAATTATAGATATACCTTATACCTCATTCGAAAGCTTATTAAAAGAGAAACAAAAGGTATATAGTCAATATGTTCCGCAGCGCATATTAGAGGAGTAACGAAGGACCTACATATCGAAATACGCGTGAACATTAAAAAATAGCTTATTTTGAATAATGGAATGGACTGCTGCAACCAGTCAGCCCCTTGTCAAGGAAACATTTATACACCAAATTAAAGCTTATTGATAGAGGAATAAACTGAGTATAAACGATATTTGCCGCAATGACCATTAGAGGGGTTACGGAGGACCTAAATGCCAAAATACGCGTGAAAATTAAGAAATAGCCAATTTTGAATAATGAAATGGATGTTTTGAATAATGGAATGGACTGCTGCGACCCTTTAGCCCCTAATTATAGATATACCTTATACCTCATTCGAAAGCTTATTAAGAGAGAAACAAAAGGTATATAGTCAATATGTTCCGCAACGCATATTAGAGGAGTAACGAAGGACCTACATATCGAAATACGCGTGAACATTAAGAAATAGTTTATTTTAAATAATGGAATGGACTGCTGCAACCCGTCAGCCCCTAATCAAGGAAACATTTATACACCAAATTAAAGCTTATTGATAGAGGAATAAACTGAGTATAAACGATATGTGCCACAATGACCATTAGAGGGGTTACGGAGGACCTAAATGCCAAAATAGGCGTGAAAATTAAGAAATAGCCAATTTTGAATAATGAAATGGATATTTTGAATAATGGAATGGACTGCTGCGACCCTTTAACCCCTAATTATAGATATACCTTATACCTCATTCGAAAGCTTATTAAGAGAGAAACAAAAGGTATATAGTCAATATGTTCCGCAACGCATATTAGAGGAGTAACGAAGGACCTAAATATCGAAATACGCGTGAACATTAAGAAATAGCTTATTTTGAATAATGGAATGAACTGCTGCAACCCGTCAGCACCTAATCAAGGAAAAATGTATACACCAAATTAAAGATTATTGATAGAGGAATAAACTGAGTATAAACGATATGTGCCACAATGACCATTAGAGGTGTTACGGAGGACCTAAATGCCAAAATAGGCGTGAAAATTAAGAAATAGCCAATTTTGAATAATGAAATGGATATTTTGAATAATGGAATGGACTGCTGCGACCCTTTAGCCCCTAATTATAGATATACCTTATACCTCATTCGAAAGCTTATTAAGAGAGAAACAAAAGGTATATAGTCAATATGTTCCGCAACGCATATTAGAGGAGTAACGAAGGACCTACATATCGAAATACGCGTGAACATTAAGAAATAGTTTATTTTGAATAATGGAATGGACTGCTGCAACCCGTCAGCCCCTTATCAAGGAAAAATTGATACACCAAAATAAAGCTTATTGATAGAGGAATAAACTGAGTATAAACGATATTTGCCGCAATGACCATTAGAGGGGTTACGGAGGACCTAAATGCCAAAATACGCGTGAAAATTAAGAAATAGCCAATTTTGAATAATGAAATGGATATTTTGAATAATGGAATGGACTGCTGCGACCCTTTAGCCCCTAATTATAGATATACCTTATACCTCATTCGAAAGCTTATTAAGAGAGAAACAAAAGGTATATAGTCAATATGTTCTGGAACGCATATTAGAGGAGTAACGAAGGACCTAAATATCGAAATACGCGTGAACATTAAGAAATAGCTTATTTTGAATAATGGAATGGACTGCTGCAACCCGTCAGCACCTAATCAAGGAAAAATTTATACACCAAATTAAAGCTTATTGATAGAGGAATAAACTGAGTATAAACGATATGTGCCACAATGACCATTAGAGGGGTTACGGAGGACCTAAATGCCAAAATAGGAGTGAAAATTAAGAAATAGCCAATTTTGAATAATGAAATGGATATTTTGAATAATGGAATGGACTGCTGCGACCCTTTAACCCCTAATTATAGATATACCTTATACCTCATTCGAAAGCTTATTAAGAGAGAAACAAAAGGTATATAGTCAATATGTTCCGCAACGCATATTAGAGGAGTAACGAAGGACCTAAATATCGAAATACGCGTGAACATTAAGAAATAGCTTATTTTGAATAATGGAATGAACTGCTGCAACCCGTCAGCACCTAATCAAGGAAAAATGTATACACCAAATTAAAGATTATTGATAGAGGAATAAACTGAGTATAAACGATATGTGCCACAATGACCATTAGAGGTGTTACGGAGGACCTAAATGCCAAAATAGGCGTGAAAATTAAGAAATAGCCAA